AATAATAAAAATGGCAATAGTACATAAATAATCACACAAATATTCTTGTAATATGGATTACATTTTAATTTTTCGTGAAAAGTAGCAGAATCAAAATGTTAGTAGCATTTATACGGGGTCAAAGCGCAGCGACCGAGGGGCGCGCCGCGCGCCGTGTCTCGGCCGTGGGTTCGCGCGATGTATGGACTTTCTTTTCCGTAACCTTAAACCGGGTCCTCACAACACAGGCGTGGCGAGAGCGGATCTTTACGCGACAATCGAGATTTGTTTGAAAGTTTTAGCGGTTTGAAAGGATCAAATGTTGATCTAGAGTCGGAAGTGATTCCGGTCTCACTTGGTCCTGTTTGCATGTCTTCGACGCACTAGCAACCGGTTCTCGGAACGATGACATAATTTTAAGGCAATGTTTAAGTAAATCAGTGTATGCCTAACTATCAACCAAAATATATTCTGATTGAAAATTAAAGATTGAAAATGAAAATGCACACGCTAATTGTATGAAGTATTATTGTATATAACATATTTGTATGTAAGTGTGTTTTTTATTTAAGCTTTTTTTATAATATTGTTAAGGAAGAAGTAAGTATTGTTACATTCCTATAGCTGTTCAATAAAACGCTAACGCTTATTACTCGAAGACATTTGTGGCAATGTTCATATTATTGGAGGATTCAATAAGTAGTGTAGTCTCTCACAACACAAAACTTCTTTAGACTTCTCCTTTTCTTCTAAGTATTTATATTCATATATTTTTACTACATCTATCAGTGTAAAGCATAGTATGTTTTTAAGGTGCAATTCAGCAATTGTTAAGCAAATAGAAACTAAGAGAGGCTTTATTTAACACGAGGTTTCGTCACATTCCATTAATAAGATAGGCACCAATCAACGAATGACAAATAGAAGTGTAAAAATATTTGGTAAGTTATGTTCCCGTCAATAGAGATATCACATAACAATTAATCATTCATTTTGATGGTCTCGCCGCCGCCGCTGCTGCCATCCAATATACCGCAAACAGTAGATACCATAGACACTGTTAGTCACTTGTGTGAAAATTAATGTTCATAATATTTTTCACTTTTTAATGAGAAAGTAATCCATGTTTGTTTAGAGGTTCCATGTTTGTCTAATTGGTAAACTAAATTGAGGTGTAAAATTACCCGTTTATCTTAACAGTACAATTTACTTACAGCTGGCGTCTTCATTAAACATCTCATTTTACAACTTATTAAAATTCCATGTTTTGTAAGAAATGCTTTTAGCGTCACAATCACGGCAACTGGTTGCATATCCAATACTTACTATCCAACAAACTCAAATGACGATTAATCGTATTTCCATAGTGCACGACACAAAGTCTTTGGCTAGGATAGGTAGGTACACCTTCCATAGTGGAAATGCTTTAAAAATATTGAAATAATATGCATTGATTAAATAATAACACAGGTCCACCTGAAAATCAAGATGTGCAGTAATTGAATTACCTAATTCTCGACCGGTTCATTCATATTTTTATTGCTCACCTGACGGAGACGTCGTCGGTATTTTTACAGTTTTATTGTAATTTCGTCATAGTGCGAGGCTTTCTCCGGGTGTGTCATTTACATACATGCGCACATTTCTGTTTGCTTTACAGATTTCACCATAACTCACATGTACCCACGCGAGACTTGGCGTCTCGAGGGTGTAAGAACAATTAGAGACTCATCAATGAATTGCTTACATTGCACTTAGCATCACGTAGTACTCGATACAATCGGAGACTTGCGAAATATGTACGGCGTGTAATGCCCGAAGGGCTGTTGGCCTGTTGGCATTCTGAATATAGTGTAATAATTATGTGTGTCAAGTTATAAGAGGTTGCCATGGTGCTATGATATATGATCTAATGATGTGGTAAAAAAAGATTTATTAGCGGCTTATTTAATAATACGGTGACTTTAACCTTAATTATTTTATAATAATTGTAAAGTTTATTTAGGTAGGGTTACGTACGTCCATGTCAGTATAGTATTATGTACCTATATAAGTAGGTTTATGTTTAGTAATTAGTACAGAATTACTGATATTACACTTCATAGCCTAAAAAGACAAGTAGTATGTTAAAGTTATTTTCTTTTAATTAAAGTATTAACCATCAATTACCTTGGGTCCACCATAGTAGTACCTTACTACTTACATACAGGCTTATTGGTCGATCTTGTTGTCTCATTTCATTTAGAATAATATTGGGTTATGGGCACCTTCGTAACCTTGGTCTTTGGCACCATCGTACGCCCTTTTAATGGTGGTAAACATGTAGTCTTCTTGGTGGTCCCCTTAAGCGAAAAAGGCTTGTATTGCGTATTCTACATGGCCATTATTATGCATTAAGAGTTATTATGTATTTTGCCTACTTGTTCAAATTACGCATGAGTTCGTAATATTAACAATAAAGTATGTAATAACAATTTACCTACATAGCCAAACGATAAAATACGAAATGCTTGAGAATGAGATGCTTGTTCGTAGTTACCGCATACATTTTATGAGAGATGTTCACCTCATAAATAAACTTAACATAATGATGGTACCTATTAAATTATTATAGCACCCTCTTTTTAGGTATGTAGGTAGATTAAATTATTATTGTTGGTTATTTTTAGCCACTAGTGATCATCTGTGCGAGATAACAAAATAATGAAAACACATCATCAACAGCCTATAAATGCCCACTGCTGAGCAAAGCCTCTTCTCACACGGAGAAGGTTAGAGCATTAATCACCACGCTTGCTCAATGCGGGTTGGCGATTTCAAACTTATAATTAGAAATTGTAAGTCCAGGTTTCCTCACGATGTTTTTCCTTCACCGTTTGTCAGTGGTGTCTAAATAATCTTAGAAAGTACATATAACTCGGAAAAAGTCACATTGGTACTTGCCGTTGGTAGGTTTCGAACCCGCACCCTCATGCATGAGAAGTGGGCGTCTTAAACCTCCGGGCCACCACGACATTTTAATTTGAAATTGAATTTTAATTTTAATTTGTAATTTGAAAACACGTAAGGAGGGGTATATTATGAATACCTACTCTAAAAGTTAATATGTATGTAGAAAGACTATCGTCATATGTATGTACCGTTACCTAAATGAGAGTAGGTACCAAACACAATAATATTATTATTGTGGACCTGTTATTTGTTGAAAGTTCATTGTATCACATAGAGTGCACTCTGCAGTTACATTGTCTATGTTGTGCGCGTGGGACGTTGAATTCTATTGTGTAATATTTATTTTTATAGCATTCACCACATTTAGACCTTACTGTCGATATAATTAATACATATAACATTTTTCAAGGACAAGTTCGAGGTTTAAGACTATATTTTTGTTTTGTTCATGAGTATAATTGTTTTATTTTCTTTTTATTTCACGTATGATAGAATTGATTTTCTGGAGAGATATCCGTGTGCCAAAATAATTAGGTTATGCCCATAGAAAGCCCTCACCTACAAAGATTTTGGTTCAGACGTGCGCTGTCATATTTTTATACTATGAATGTTCTTTATGTCATATAAATATTTTTTGTAAGGAATTATTAGGCAAATTCAAATTCTATGTGCAATAATAATTATCTTCATCACCTTTGGTAACTTATGAACTCCATGATGCGCCGACAGACACATATTCAAATACCTTTTTTTAATTTTGTTATTTAAATAAGTTATTTTAATTAGTTTTGATAGTTATCTAGTTAATATTATCACTAAATCAACAGCGGGAAAGCAGTATTCAAAATATATTCATTTAGTCCCATTAAAATATCAGGTTTTCATTAAGTGGGACTGTTAACTGGTAAAACATTTAAGATGTTGAAACATTTCACATGAACAGGTACAAATTAGTCTAAGAACAAAAAAAAAATATAGTTGGTATTTTAAAACATTTTATTCATCTAAAAACGCCTCCTTTCACAGTGCAACAAGGTTCACAAATTAAAATAGTCTAAAATTCGTGAGAGTAATTTTCTACGGTTTCTTATTATATTTTGTGGTTTAATTCTTTTAACAACTTAATTACTTGCTTTGGTAATTTTTAAATTAATTTTACGACACAGTTAATGCATTCATTTCATTAAGGATTACAAGAAAAGACATCTATTGCGGAATATCGTATGTATTTATACTTCACAAGTATAATATTGACTATTTGTATGAACGCAGCAGTACCTACTGCGGATATATTTCCCGATACGGAAATTATTTATTTCTGGAAAATACCAACGCGTTATAATGATGTTAACCAAATCCTAAACAATTAAGAGTAAAGGTATAAATGCAAAGGTCGAAGACGGGGAAACGTATTTCATATTTAATACTTAAATAACTTTTAGCAGTTCTTTCCTTAAGCACCTACGCATTGTATAAATATACTCGTACCTACCTAATTTTTGCCTACAATCAAACGCATCTTCACACATGTTCTATTTGGGTGACTTATTAATTAATCCTAAGGTACGATAAATGTATTCTGTTGGCACTAAATATGATAAAGGTCTGAAAAGTCCACATTTTAATTCATAATGTAAGTAAAGAATTCTTTATTGTTATCTAATGTGAACGATATGAACAGTATTTTAATATTCTGTTGTTGAAAGTTCATGATCACGATATCATTGTACGCATTATTGACAATGGCATTCAATGCATCAAAGATGTTGATAATAAACCAAATATTTTAATGTTTGTGTTGGATTACTATACGTATTATGTAAAAGTTAACGTAATACTTTTCTTGGGAATTGGTATTGATAACTACTTGATCATTATCACTTTAGAGCTGAAAAATAAACATATTAGGAGAAATAGTCACGTAGTGTACGTATGTATACTGGAAAATACAAATGTCCAACAGTATTGTAAAGTAAGTAAGAATCATTATCAAAAAGACTTCTTTGGATTAGGTATTGCTATTTGTTTTTGTATTTTTAATTAAAGGTGTGGTCACTAGATTATGTATTCTACTGAGCATTGGTCAGGGGTGCTACATAGAGTAGTTGTGCTAGGTTATTCCTCGCATATTTCCCGCGTAGAGGGGCTCCGTGTCCTTGCCTACCCCAAAGAGATTCCCACGTCTCATGATGCTTACGAACACTTTCTGCTGAATCACGTCGATGCTCCTAAAAATAAATATTTATTTTTATTTTATGATCATATTATTATATTGTGTTTATTTCATTTAAAAATATGTTTAACCTCTTTTTGTATGCACTTTACTTTCATTTGCTGTTTTAGTTCCCTCAAGTAACCCATGTTGAGCGATTCCCGCCATCTGTAAAATTCACACGAAATTTTCGTACAAATGAACAATTCTACTTAGATATGAAAATATCTATATTCAATCATGATTTTGAATATGAGTAGAAAAAAATCTTTTAAAAGATATTTTAGTCAAAACTCACAAGCTAATGCTAAGGAGGTCAGGGTTCAAAGATAACATAACATACAATATCATTTATATGAATACCATAGTTACTCATCGATATCTACAACTGTCGAAGTGTCAACGATCATTATCAACAGCTAGCGGTCTCGTGGTGCACATCACAGGCTTAATGAAAGCCGTTAATCTTATGTATAGACCCCGTCGGTGTCGTGTGGACCCCGACCGATAGAAAGCCATGATGCAACCTCTACCTTACCGGATTGGTGACCAAACATTGCTTACCGTTAGGTAACTATATAGCTCGAATTTGTACCGGAAATGTATTCGTTAATATTCATGGTAAACTTGGAACGTTCAAGATCAAATAAATAACAAATCAATCGACACAAAACAAGTGCAAATTCTTTCTTTACCACTGTAAATAGTGAATTTTTTTTACGTGTTTAACTGTTCACCAGAATTATAGATGAGTAAATTAATATTAATTATTGAAGAGATTTAATGAACCTTTAAACTAGTGAATTGATATAATACCATATACGGTACCTACTATCCATAAAAGCCCTTGAGCACTATGGGATTTCCGAAACGCATCTCATAATTCAATCTTACAATATGATTTACGAAAAACTTGTTACGACATTCGCTGACATTTTACATGCGAATAAATTTACGGTTCGGCAAAACTTGACACGCAACTATGTAAACTTTTGGCAAATTACTACAGACCTACCATAATAAAAAATCAATGAGCGATGCTTTATATTAGAACCAGGTCATCGGGATTTGAAACAGGTCAGGTGCCATGAACTCATAAATTGAATACTATTATTTTCTTTGACATTGGTTAGCTTCTATTATCCACAAAGAATCTCACAAATAATATCGATGACAAAAATTGCGAAATCATGCTGCGTTAGAATATGACAGAGAATAGGTACCTAATCATCGCGTGTATTATTAACATTCATATTTATAAAAACTTGATACGTACTGACACGACTGATCCGCCGGTCTTGTGACATCACTGGATGGCAAAGTGCGTGCGCCAACACGACGTCTTCTAGCAAGAAGTGGAACAAGTTCAACTCCACCGGTTACACGCAAAATAGTTGCTTCAGGTGTTGGCTTTTTCTCAACCACAGCCATCGCATCTCCACTATCGTAACTATCATCAATTATTAGTTTCGTAACTTTATCCCCATTAGACAATCTTTTGACAAATCTAGTTTTCTTTGGACTTCTTCGATCTTCTGGATTACCACCATAAGAAATTTCGTGCTTTACCTTAACATCCAAACTAAATCTTCGTTGGTCTGGAGATTTTCTTTGCGGACTGGTACCATATTTGATATTTGGTAACTTTTCTACGTTATGTGGTCTTACATTTTCTTTGTTAGGCGTATCTTCTCTGAAATCATCGTCTCCCTTTACTTTAGGTAAAGTAAGTGAAGATTTATGCCCATTAGCCCCATTCATTTTCGTTAAAATTTCATTATCTGTCCAACCCTACAATAAAATAAATATGTGTTGATAAAATACAATAATGAAGTAATTTTGAAATACTGATGCATAGTATTTATAACATCAAACTTTCAACAGTAGAGTCCCATATTACAATGGGTTTAAATATTTGAATAAAGTAATTTCAATACAAACCATAGACTTTGAGAAATTTAGTCCAATGTTTCGGGGGTTCCTCCATATAGTACCACCAGGCCCTGGTTTGCCCCATGGTCCTTCCATGGCGTGCTGCAAATGTAAAATGATGTGTATTATGAACTACAGTTTTAATCAAGAATCTACGTCTATTACCATTTTGCGTTCATATTCCAGATTCTGTTTCCTTTCTTCTCTCATGGCTTTCTTTTTTTTTGTAACCATCTCATCTGAAATATTTTTAGAATTTGTAAATCAATGTTAAAATTTATAATACTTTTCAAATTACAATTTAAAAGTTTCAATCACACAATGTATTTCCTTTTCTATTTAAAATAAGCGTTAACGGTCTGCATACATCGCAGACTTTCTCATCAAAAATAACTTTACATAAGATGCTAATAATTTATCATAAGTAATTTATGCAAAGGTTTTGCTAAGCGTAGACCTAGAAATATTTATTACAATAAGTTATATAACGCTGGGGTGAAAGTTGATAAGATTATCCTTTATGACTATACAAATCAAATAACTATTTTTATGAAATCGAAAATACATCAATATTCCAAAATATTTGGCAAACGAATCATAATAACACTTTATAAATATTTATTGTGGAGAATTGATTAGGCTGAGGGATTGTTTATTTTAAGCTAAGTAGGTATTTATTATTCTGATGTCATTATTATTCACTAAATTGTTAAAAATTTAATAATAACTGCATAATTGTCCGTTTTTATTTAAAATCAACACTAAAAAATAAGATTTTATGATCAATGAATAATTAAGTAGTAGTACCTAATATTTGTTTATAGTTTTGTTGTTCATTAGGCGACTGTTTATATCGAATGTCGTTGTCGACACTCTTGCGCAGCGGGTCGGCGTAACACAGTTGAGGATCTTCTCTCAACTTCACCGGGGTCTGTCTCTGTCGGCGGAGTGGGGACGTCGCCCACCTACGACACGCTTCGTGTAATGATACTCCCTGGGAAATAGATAATTGTGATAAAGAAGATTGCACAATGGTGATGATAATAATGGCATGGGACGGTAGTGGACTGAATTACTTATTGTTCGAAAAATAATATTTAAGATGTTTACCGTTGTGTACTTGCAATACAACGGTTGTAGTAAAATAATAAAAAGATAGCTATTTTGTGGCTTTTAACACTAAACGAATAAAATAAATAAAATTACAACAATTCATAATTTAGTTCACATAGTTAAACATGTTTGTAACTTGACACCATAATATAAAAAAGGATAATATATAAAGCTAACACTTTCAAAAAGTAATCAGATGTCATGTGAAGCCAAACTATAAACCCTACAAGCGTTTAATTTATAATCCCTAATTTTATACTTAAGTTGCTGCGAGATATTACTGCCGTAAGTCATAGCGCATAGTCCGTAGCGCGTAGTTCGTGACACGTAGCTCTTAGAGCGTAGTTCGTAGGCCGTAGCTTGTCGGTTGTAGCCGGTTGTTCGTAGCGCGTAGTTCGCAGGTCGTAGCTTGCAGGACGTAGCCGGTAGTTCGTAGCGCGTAGCAGCGAAATCTCGTTGGCGTGTCCGGCCGTGTGTGGCCGACTCGTCCATTTATTTGCAGGGTTTGCATGCCTACGAGATCAATCACGGGAAAACACTGCTACACGCTACAAACTACGCGTTACGAGCTGCGGCATTAGTATTTCACTGCAACTTACGTGTAACATTAGGACTTATATTTTTCTAATCAGGGTTACAAACTCAAGCACTACATGAGAAAAAGTAGGTAGTGTTGCTGCGCTTCACACGGGCAAGGAAATGCCCCTAAATACACAAAACATACAAAATCATTGAAGAATTAATGTATTGTTAAGTAATGGGGTCTGGCGAATGTAATGGACTACCAAGTAACGATTCTCGAGTTTCATTCACAGGTCGGGCACAAAACACTTGCTATTAAAAAGTATTCTTAGACACGGAGTCTGGATTGTGCCAGGTGTATGGAAAAGAAATAAGCAATCTTTTTATTACATGGAATTCAAAACATACGTGGTAAAACATTGAGTATGTGTTATTGTGCATCTCCATGAGGATTAAAAGGTGTCACCTTATGTTTATTTAAAACACTGCGTTACAAGGAATGTCCCTTATGTGACCGATACAATTAAAAGGCAATGTCAATGAACTATCTCAATTAACAATCCGGCTTTCATATTTTGTTGATTAGTTTGATCGCCTCGCCATAACAAAGGCAATCAAATCAATTTTCTATAAAGAAAATTAATGGAAACCATGAACAAACAAAATTTACATCTTTGATAAGAAAATTTACCTGTGAACCAACCAAATCGGTTTTGTAATAAAATCGTGTCGTATAATTATGGCGATTGCATTATAGGAACGCTGACAAGTTTTTAAGAGAAGAAATTACTGATGACGAAAATACAAAATACCTTAAATGTATGTCAACAAATTTCATATCCTCGATACGGCAGAAGCAGTCAGTCGCACATTTTTTATACATCTCCGTGTCGTAACGTTACGGTGAGGTTCCCGCCTTAATAACATTTAAGTAATGAATGACCCTTTACCATATATAGATTTATAGCCATCAGTCCATCGCCATATGCAACTTATTTTTTGTGCCGATTCATTGAGTAACCATGTAACCTATAAAAGCTGTTCTAAGATTAGGGAAGGACTACAAAATATACGGAATAAAATGTCCACGATTCGTGGGAATCGAATTACGCATCGTTGTCGTATGTCAGTCAACGGCAAGAGGTCACGAAACAAAGTATTCAGGTCATCTATTTTGTTATTATCCTTCACCTTTTTGAATGATTTATTATTTTACCGATGAATATAATATATTAATGACCTAAACATTTGCTAGTTTTCCTTGCACAATGTACAAAGTGCAAGCATATTTAAAAAAATTGGTACCTACTTATGAATTAATTAAGAAATATTAAATTCATGACAACACAACAATTAATTCGTGGTTTTGTACGGCACATGTACAATCGTAGGTACATATACGTATATTGCATGTTTGTCTGAAATGTTGAGCGAGACGCATTGTAATTTAGTAATATTTAAATACAGATCTCATAATCACTAATAGAAAACAATTATTTCAATTACACGCCTGTTTTAACAAGTCATGCGTGTAATATTACAAGAGTTAGTTCAGAGATACTCAACATTTTTCTTCTTTACTTACTTTGTATAATACAAGCCTATTACGGTATGTTTTGTAAAGATACGAGGTATGTTATGAAAAGTGTACTGTGAAAACCCAACAAGTTATAAGGTCAGTATAATAGTTCATTGTTAGTATAAAAACGTTAAACACATATGCTCACAGTTCGCCCACCTGGATTGCTTGCTTCGCGCCAGCTGGGGGTATGAAAGCTACTTAGTTTTATTATTATAGCTAAGTACGCCGAAAATGCATTATATAATTCCTTTATTCAGAATGTAAAATAAATGTATGATTTAAGCATATTATCTTAATATTTCATGTTGGATACCACTGGCCCCTTGATGGAAGTTCAGCGCTGTAGGCAGTGTCGTTTCAATGTTATACACACTTTCTCTGTACAAACTTGTATATAATTAAGACAACAAATGCTTATGACAAATTATGTTGTGTCAAGCACAAGTCATGTGCATACACTTGTAACTATGTAAATTGAAATGTACTTAAGGTAACCTTTGAATTGTAGCTAGGTACATATGTAAGTATAGATGATATATTTAAGGATAATAAGTAGTTGTTATGACTATAATTATGTTCTCATATCCTCTTACCCTTAATTCGTCTTCAGGAAAGATCCCTTTGTCTCGGAGATTAGTGAATCGTACACCTCGAGGGTTGGGAGCGCCACCACCCGCGCGTCCCCACGGCTGGTACGTCGCCAGTTCTTCACGAGCCTATAATTAGCAACACTAAAATATTTAAAAATCTAAACTAGCATTTTGTATTGCGTGAGATCGAAATAAGCTAAAATATGTGTACCACAATAAATTACGTAATGGAAATATTTACAGGTACAGAGGTACACAAATACTTGCAGGATTTGAACTCGATAACCTTTGAATCAGTCACTTCATATAGTCGATGTCGCTTAAAAGTTAATAATAGCTGTTTGAAACGTAAGATTAATATGATGTTATAAAAGAGGCTCGTGCCGCACCTATTATTTCTTAATAATGTGGGCGGAGAAAGAAACACCGTGGAGTTGCCATCATTGTTCCACAAGTATTTATGATTAACTTTAGGCACTTAAAACCTACAAAAATTAAAAAGCTCTATCGCTAATTAATTATCTTATATTACTTACGTATCAGATATGATATCTATGTATCCTAAATACACCTGTGGGTACTTCTCTAAATACAATAGATTAGAAAAATTGAAGATTTTATCAAAACGTACCTATTACATTGTATAACTGTTAAGGGCAAAGGTGAACAAAAAAATGGTTACAAGAGTAACGACTGCGTTTGTTAAATGAGCCTACTTTAACTTACGGTACGTAGCTATGTATTATGTACATGCAATCGAAGATAATTGAATATCTTTTAGCGCTTGAAAGCTAAATTGGTATGTATGCAGGTATTCTATATTAGGTAAGAATGGATAGGTAGGTACTCTAAAATATTTTAAGTACGTAACTACTTAATTATGATTTGAGTGAAAATCTTACAATTTTAAAAGATTCCTTGTACCCAAAATAGTTATACTATTTGAAATTATGATTTATACTCCTATAGTGGTAATGTTTAACTTTACATTACGTAAGTTTAAGTTATGGTGTGGATTCCCGCACACGTTTTGTAAATATTTGCATTTTTAAAGGTACACACATACACGATAGATTGTCATCTCACATCTTACCTATTATGTAAGGTTCACTAATATCCAGTTTTAATATTTTGAAAAGTAAGAAATCTTGTTATGTCTATGTATCGTCATTTATTTTTATGTATCTTCCTTATATGATAGGAACACAGATGATACGTAAGAAGGAGGCTGCATAGGACCATGCGTACATAACTACATACATAAAAGTACGAACTAATACCTAGATGTACAGGTTTTACAGTATCTGTACACAGTATCCGCATATATATGTACCTTGCGCTGTTGTTCGAGCTTTTCCCGTGCCCTTCGCTCCCGCTTCTCGCGTGCGATGCGCTCGCCTTCCGCTCTCGTCTGCTCAGCACGTTGTCGCTCACGGGCTCGACGCCGGAGTGACCCTGACGTCGGGGCACTGAGCCTCCTTAACATAAATTGTAACAACAATGATCCTGTTACGAAAATTCATAATTGTACACTGTTATTCTTTAGTTAGCCTAATGGGTTCTATCTTGACAAATCAAGTAGGTAAATGCGTACAACACATTTAATAAATTAAGAACTTATTAAACCAATCGATGCACCTCGAAACCTCTATGTGACGTCGTAACCAACGTTTTATAACGTTTTATAAATCAATTGAGCAATATTTATTAATGCGATTTTAATTGATTAGATAAAGCTTCATATAATTATTTTAGTTAAAAACTTTATGTTATAATTTCATAATGCCTAGCTGTGTATTGGTAACTGCTAAGTAATTAGGTTTTACACAATCTTCATATTATTAATTCTTTAGGTAATCCTTTACACATTTAGAAAGTACGTAAGTTTTGTCTTCGTCGAAACGATCAGAAAATGATATCTTACCTACGCAATCTTCGAGAGTGCAAAGCAAACATTTAAACTATAGTTTCACTAAACCCAACAACAAATAATTTCATATCACATAACTAAACACACAGCAGAGTCTGACGAGTATGAACGCGGGAAGAATTGTGCACACACTGAAGATTATCATTTCAGGTGTCCGGTAGCGACCGAGCGGCTTTCCGTCCGCTACTGAAAGTGTATCGAAGTCGCCGTCGCGCCGCCATTTCAACTGAAACTGTGCACTGTCGTGAACGTTTCCATTGAGTTATGTTATCACAACAGTAACTTATGTTCCAAATTTTTCAGTCATTTACGTCATTCATTTTGTATTGTTTTGAATGTCAGATTGCGATGGTAGGTACTATTTAAATAATAAAAATACGTTACATATACTGGAGCAAGCGAGATATTTCGGGGTGGGATTCAAGGGTGCTAATGACAGACTCGCCCGGTACAATTTACTAATTTTTGTTCCGTGTAAGGTTAAGTCTGAACTAATAACAAGCGTAAAATTTAGATTGATAAATATGAGGGCCATTAAACTAAAATTACACTTTGAATACATTAGTAGGTACCTAATTACCTACATCAAGTCATGATATCAAAACTTAGATATCTAGGATTGTAATACCTAATTAACCTGCAGTAGCTCTAATTACAATGTTGCAGTTTTTCTAAATTGGATATCGTGTAGACACATGTTTTAATGACGTAGGTAGTTAGGTCATATAAAATTCAATTGTAATTTTCCACCAACATGCAATGTACTCCGTTGTTTTAATAATTCAGTTATAGCGTCTTAATGGCGATAATTTCACCTATTGCGTCTATTCTAGTTGAAAATTCAGAAGAAAATATCTATCTATATCACTACATAGTATAAAACAAAGTCGCTATCCGCCGTCTGTCTAAGACTGTCTGTCCCTATGTATGCTTAGATCTTTAAAACTACGCAACGGATTTTGATGCGGTTTTTTAATAGTGATTTTTAAGGAAGTTTTATATTTATAATACGTATACATGCATATTGCACCCGTGCGAAGCCGGGGCGGGTCGCTAGTGTATAAATAAAAATGAATTTCCGTTCGTTAGTCTCGCTAAAATTCGAAAACGGCTGAACCGATTTGTCTAACTTTGATCTTAAAATGTTCGTGGAAGTCCAGGGAAGGTGAGAAATAATTCGGCGGAACAAAGATTGCTGGGTTAGCTAGCATGTGACAAAAAATAACTACATAAATATGCTATTGAAACTTACCTCAAGTAACGTCCTCTGATTGATTTATGCGAGTAATATTTCGATGATACAGCCTTAGCAGAACATGTTTCCACAAAGTCGTGAGAATTTTAACTGGTTTATGATAGAATATTGAGTATTATTGCAAATCACTAGTTGTGATTAAGTGCTTTGTTGCGGAGTTTCAAATACATTTTCAGTAAATAGGCTTGAAATAGGTCGTTTCTTTGTTAAGCCTACCGATGAACGATTTTTAAACATAAAGGCCTTAACGATCTTTAGGCTGTAGGCACTATACAATGTACAGACGCAAACTAAATTCATATCTGGCGACTTTGAGGACACGATGGGGAAAAGTAACGATTATGACCTTGGCAAAAAGTTACAAATAAAGAGTCGGGTACTTATTGTTAATCAATACAGAGAAAACCTATGCGAATTTGCCAAATTTCCATATCGCGACATCACGTTTGGCTCCTATGTATAGTATACGAGCAATAAATATTGCCTTGACAGTAATGAAATTCTTCGAAACTCGTGCACGCAGCAAAAAAATTACAAGAAATGACGTATAGCACGAACATTAGGCAGCTTGGTAGCTACCATCATCATGGAATACTATTATATATGTTTTTGCTATTACTAATCTCATGTTTGTGTATTGACTATAACTACATATTTGCAATTTTAATCTTCGTTTTACTAATTTTATGCTCTTGCTCTGGTTTTCATTTCAATAAAACATATCTAATTATGTTTAAGTAAACATTGTATCCTTTAGTATTTACGTATATTCAACTTTGTATAGTGCAGTAGGTCATGTACATTTTTCATGGCATTTTTCAGCTGGTATTCGGCTCGTCCTGGCGGTGCCGGGCGCCAACCGATCGATTGCCGCAAACACGCGTTTACGAATCCTATTGCATTCATTCATATACATAGCTTGCAGGCAGGAGATTGCTATTGTTGTCGTGAAAATGGGTCACCAATAAAATCGTTTTTGATATTACGCTGGCATTTTGATGACTTTCTCAAGGACACCCACGCTATTAACATTTGCGTGTGTCCTTGCAAGTTTCAATATTGCGTGGAAACAAGGTTAAATTGTAAATAATGGGTAGCGTCTTGGGTTGCGATGCGTATTGCAAATAAACTGAAATAAAACAGTATTTTGTAACTAATGTTTATATTAAAAATTATTCATGATTTACCATTTTACAGAATAATAATATTTACAAACGTATGACCTATTAAAGTATGTCTACATACATATAAATAAACTTCATTGACTCCCATTTTTTAACATTTTTAATGTACAAAAAAACATACACCTCCATCTCCATTATTGGGTTGGCTGAAACAACGACCAATGCATGAAATAAGTTTGTTCATAACAACGCGATTCTATCGGTTCAAAATTGCCTTAATCACTTCCATCTCTACGCTTAGTGGTTCCACTATAAAACATTCGAAGAGAATGAAGTGAGAACGAGTTGCGTGTGAACCCATATTTGAAATAAAGAGTATTCACACACACTAATTATCAATTCGTTGCGGCTACTATACGTACTGGACGGCTCTAACGAGCAAAACATGCTACATTTTCCTTAAAAGTACTTAAGTTCTTCATAACTTTCGATTTTGTAAAATAGTTTGCTATAAAACAGCTTCATTTATGCAATATCAGTCGTTGCTTCAGCCTTAAACTATATTTACCTTATTAATGACTAATATTTTGTTAAATATTAATAATTTCAAGAAAAAGTTTTAAGAATACTGCGCTTATGGTGCATTGTTTTGCGGTACTCTGAAAATTCATTTGTCTATAAACGCTTGATACGTTGGATACATAGTTGTTAGTATTATTTACAATTGTAACATGTACTAATTTGCTAACAGATGTTAATATTCTGCCTCAATATGTAGTGCGGCCTCGTAAAATACTTACAAATTTAATACTAGGTCAGAATATAACACACACCTCTAGTATGTAACGTGTACTCTAAAGAAATTGAGGTAATTGGTTTTGAAGATAAAACACGGGTAACTTATCCAATGACTCTCAGTATTTACAAATCATAAAATACATACAGTAAGAAACAAACGAACACCAACTTATGAAACAAAGAGTAAGTAATTTTGTGATGATCGTTGATAGCATATTGTTTGTGCATAAACACAGGTACTTTCTATCTCTATACCTACATAAAGATTGCACGATACAAAACAACAGTTGAGCATATTTATACAAACAGTACACGTAGATATGTACATATATAGCGTACAGTATTTGGTAACGAGTAGTTATACACGCTCCCTGCCAGCGATAGTTTCGCGCTAGATACTTTATGGTGTCACAAAACTCACAGAAAATTATCTTAAAATAAATCAGGTCACACAAGTGAAGGACACAAAGTACAAATATTTATATAATATCAATACTAATAAAATAGATATACTTCAATAATAAGTAACATATAATTACTTGACAATCAGTTCTACTGATTACAATAAAATATAACAACAATCTACATACATAGCGTTTTATAGTATACAGTACAAAGTATTATGTTTAATTTATCAGGGCACATGGTATAACTTGACGTAAAATATCTACGATATATGTCGCCATGTTGGCTCATTTCACACTCATATACACTTAACATTCACTCGCGACAGGCCGAGCCCGGCGGCGGCGACCGGGCCCGACCGAACACCGACCACTCAAATACATTACTAAAATAAAATGTCCATCGCCTCTATATCCTTTACAAAAAGGTATCCAGAATTCTGTGGGTCTCACGCTAGAACCTTTAAGTACTATTAAAGGTGGCGCTCGACATGGAAAATCAACTCTTTTGAAATACTCTTAGGATCACGTATACATAATGTTGTAACGTAAACGAAAAATTACTTCAACAATATGTTTCAAAGCTTCACCACGCTGTAGGGTGGGAGCCGTTAGAACTGTGGATGCCTTTCATAGAATATATTAAAGTTTTGGTCGTGCACGTACTGAGTACGGTGGTAGAGTAGTTCAGTACTATTTAATCCTGTTCAGCACGAGGTCGGTGGTGACGACTAGACCCTTTTGGTAGGGCGAGTCAGCCAACTCAGCCGCTAGGCGTGCCGCCTCCGCTCCGTGCTTACGGGCTAGGAAACGTGTCTGCTCGAGTCCGCGAGATTTGTGCACCAGCTCGTATGCTTTCTCTACATCACCCGGCTCTTGGAACCGCCTCATTATCATCGGGTTCAGTTCTGGATACTGAAATGGAACGAAAATAATATTTAAACTAGTTAGTTTAATTTTTGATTTTTTTAAATAGACTCTTGTCTATTTAAAAAAAATCAAATACACAAATTTGTGTTTAGTTATGCTTGCGTCATCTAAAGTAAAAATATGCAAATCGCTTTCTTCACTTTCATTTTTAATATATGTATATGCGTTTAAACAAAATATATAACAATTCTGCGTTGGTCGTTGCGACGTGTTTTCGCTACAACCAACAACCGGGCTTGGTAGAGGTCAATCGTGAACATTTTTGCAATGTAGTGCAAATGGTTCAGCTGTGGCTCAACGTATGTATTACGAAAACGAATATTTTTGCGCAAGTATGTGTATAAGCACTCGCTATGGCCACGAGTATGTAAAGTTGAGGTAGGGCAACCGGTTTGCCACTATTTAGTCGAATTTAAATAGGTACGTTCACATCACGCGCTGTGAAATTCTAAATATACGTTTATCAACTTAAGGTATTTTAGAATTAGGTATGTAGGTCAAGTACATGTTTAAACTAGATTCTAATAAAACCTTTATTTTATAATGTGGTCCCTCTTGCAGATTAAATTTCAACGGTATGTTGAAATACATAACGACACTTATCCCATTTTAAGCATATGCAGATAACATAGAAACGCCCAAATTATTTAATTTTTTATACATTCGTATTTATACCTCTATCCGATTTCTGCACTAACAGCCGTTAACTATATTTAAATGTCCCCAAAATAGATAATGAGATGACTTTAAAATTAAGTAAGTACTCGAAAGTTGAATAAAATTATAAAAATTTGGAAATTGTAATAACAAGAGATCTTTTGTACAGAATTATAATAATGCTTTCACAATACCTATTAAAAATGTTCACAAACATTTTCAAAGTATTCTTTTTAAATGTATATCAACATTCTTAACGATAGTGTGGGAGCACCCCAAGTTACAATATAATATCATAAATAAAATTGAAAAAGAAAATAAATAATATGTACCTTTTCACAGGCAAATAGTACTGGTGCGGTCGCCAGACCAAGCTTGAGGTCGGCGGCGGTGGGTTTGCCCATGGCTTGTGCTGAAGACACGAAGTCTAGTAGATCGTCTACCAACTGGAATGACAGGCCGAGGTTGCGTCCATATTGGAATGCTAGTTCGCACGTACTCTCGTCCGCCCCGCTTAAAAGGGCCACCTGAAAGTAAGGGTCGATTTTAGTACGAGAGACCAGTACATAGACAATTAACTCTCAGTCTATAACATGTTTACACCGTAAAATAGATTTACAGTATAACTGAGTACAGTACCAGAAGATAAATATTACACATTGACTTTTGGAACGAGGACCAAAATATATGTTTATTTTTTATGGGATAAGCCGGTAAACGAGCAGACGGATCACCTGATGATAAGCAAACGGCGTCGCCAATGGATACCTAGAACACCCACGGCGTTACAAGTGCGTTACCGGCCTTTTGGGATTAGGAATTTGAGGGTTGTTGGAGATTCAGGGATTGGGGAAGGGAGGAGGAAGGTAATTGGGCCTATAGTAACCTCACACGACGAAACACAACGCAAGAACATTGGTAAAGTGCATTGCAAACAATGGTATTACTTTTTTTTTATTATTTTCTGCTTTCGGCTTAGCCCAGGTGCCGTAAATATCGGTTTAGATAGGTAATTTTGGAAATCTGTTAAAAACTTTTTGCAAAACTTTAATAGTTAGACCTATTTGTTGCAATATTCGCTTACGAATCATAATTTCACTTTTTAAGCTTATTCAACACATTATGCAGAGTATTACGAAACAAGTTGTCAATAAACCTAAATTGCTTGATTATTAGGTACTTGCTTTTATGATCCCTGCTTGAGCATTATGACCAGTACCAGTAAGAAAATTATTTCCTATTTTCCGTTTAAATATAAATTTCTTTAGAGTTGTAAATGAGGTGCAGTACGGTATACTCGTGAGAAGCATAATTTTGTAATTAGAATAACATAACACTAGACTAATGAGAATATTACCGCTTTGACTGAGTTGGCGATGAGTGAAGCTGTCTTCCTGTAGGTCTTGGTGAGGTAATGCGCGAACCGTTCGTTTTCTGTCTCCTTGCTGCCCAGCTGCATGAACTCGCCCTGAACGAGGTCTGTGACCACCTGTAAGTATGATAAAAAGCACTTTAATTAACGGTTCAAGAAAAAATAACTTAATGTTAGTTTTTAAAAATAGGTTTAAATACATTGGTATTTATTTATTTACGTATTGGAAAACCAACAGCTACACATAGCAAACAAATAGTGGCAAAACTACATCAGAAAACCAAATACTTATTACCGATATATTATTATTTTATAATCAAAGCAAAGGACAAACACAATTTATCAAATAAAATCATTTTCATAATTTTCAGTAGATTATATGTTAAAAGTAATAAAGCCAAGATTATTTTGGTGGTCCTGTTCCTTTACATTTTATAAATTGTCTGATATTATATTTTCATGAAATCATTAGTATTACGACATACGTCATACGTGATATTTATTCAGAAGAATATAATAGCACTCATTAGTGTATAGGTACTTAAATAGTGTAATTATTCAAATGATAGTATTTTTCAAGAACGCTAACATAAGGTCGTGAAATATTTCGAAACGGAATGAATTTATAAAATTTTCAAATTGCATATTCAAGACAATGTATGTAAATATGACGTGTGATTTATTAATAATGCACTAATTTATGCACTCAGTTGTTTTAAATATAAAAGATTTATTTGTCAAAAACTTTGTTTCTTAACGTTCATACCACACCGCGGTGTTGTGATGAAAACATGGATTAATGTATTCTGATGAGATGACTATTTCTGTGTTGCTTGTTTATATGTTTACACACAAGTTTGTAAATATTCAATTTTGTAACTCTATGTTTATTATAGAGTTTAAGTAATTCTATTTATAAACTACCTACTACGCGGATTTTGAAGATTAATAGATAATGTTGTAATATTCTGAAGAAGACTGCATTTCAATAACTGTCAGTGATTTGATTATGTATTTCAATTCTTAATTTTATAATTACCTAGCGAATATATCATTTGTGTTAAAACAACTAAAAGGATATGTATATATTGCACTAAATGTTAGCGTCTAAGTTAAGAAGGTCGACAGGATGAATCGTTTTAATGAATATTCTAACCGAACATTCGACCCCAATCGAGCATGCGTGTGAGCACGAACATTCAAAAGGTTGTATTGAAGTAATGATTGTGCTACTACTTGCGACTGTGAATGGGAGTACATCAATATAGTGATGAAACGCATTACTAATGTAACATGTAAACATTTTACCACATTTGACGCATAAAGGCATATTGTATTATACGATATTAAGTAATATAACGAACGTTATTACAAAACCCATAATCGTATCTACATTTTGATGCAAATCGAATGAGAACTGTAACTTTAATTTAAAATTGACATTTCTAAAATATTTCATAAGTCTCGTTGGCGATTTTTATAAAAGAAACGTTTTAACCGGTTAACAGTTTTTTTTAAATATTGTTCTATATTCTTAAGGTATCCTCACAATAATTAAACAAATTCTAATAATCTACATATTAGATTCATATGGCGATTGCTGTAATACGGTTCTGTGGACCAAATTATAATAGGCTCTTTATAACAGTTACCCATCCCATTCGATGGCCTATCATTGCCAAAACTCATTTAGTTAGGAGCCTTACGAATTTGTATAGTACCTAATGTGGGATAATGAAGTAGTTACCTGGCTGAGCACGAGTGTGACGTCATCGCTGCGCAAGCGAGCTATCATCATCGACGCCACGGCGAGGATGAAGTCGCCGGCCATCGCCACCTGGAAATAATTAAAAAAAGAATTGTAACTTGCAACAGTTTACGATTCACATAATCAAAGTAAACCTTGACCTTCAGAATACTCCATATGCCCATGAACTTTGAAGTAACAAGCTCAACCAATAGTAAATCATTACTTTCTATCGCGCTAGTAGCTACACAGCTTGAAACTGTGACACAATACTGTGAACGTATGTTTAATTAAATAATAATTAATTTAAACTATAATTATCTACACACGTCGCGTGAATATCACTCGAACATACGAATGCAGGGGAAAGTGACATTAGTGCACACAGTTTGAACAATTAGTTATATTTCTACTGCTAATGCTCGTAGATAAGTTTAATGCTTAACAAGATCACAGATAAAGTAGGTACAATATTTTCTCAAAATATCAAAATATTTATGAATTAACTTTATACGATGAAATCAATACATACTCTACTATATTCTTACTCAAAATTTTAATCTATAATAACTAGTTACAATAACTGCAAGAACAAATAAAACATCAATAAGGAAAATATCCTAATTTCCTCTTATGAGTTTACGATAAAAGCAACGTTAAATCAAACGTATTTCATAAATCTTGCAAGATTTAAAATATACATATTTAAAACAAAGTTGTTTAAGTTAAATAATTTTTAACTCAGAAAATCGGAAAATTTGCACGAACTTTTTCCTTTGACCTGAATAACTTTGTAAACATATGAGATAAAACGCCATAAGTCCCTAACCTATGTAACCTGTCTTGATATAGAACGGTTTATTTATTTTTAGGCGATATTAAGTGTGTCAGGGTCAATAAATCTGAAACATCTACTATTTCGACGTTGCTATCGTGCCCAAGAATAAGAGAAATATATTTCCAGGAACTGGTTCTTTGATAGTCTGAGAAATATCTATTACAAAACTCAGAGTTAGTTAGTTACGAATTTTGTGGAAATTGGAATGTGACGTAAAAAGGACGTAGTAGAAAGAATGATATCATAGACATGTATCCTAAGTATTACGTTAGCGAAACAATATCTGTAGCTAGACAGGCATGTACATATATACAGATGTAGTAGATAACATAGATTGTTATAAATGTATCGATGGCGCTCATTTCTCCAGTTGTTGGCAAGAATGTCGAGAAAGTTGTGATGCGGTGTTCGGTCGCATACTAATGGCGGCGCGGACGTTTCGCCGGCGAGGCGCGCGCGTTGCTTCCGAGTGTGGGCGCGCGGGACCTCGCTGCCCGACGGGGACCGACCACTAACCGCCTCTCATTAAACCACTGGACACTTGTTAGCCTACATCCAGTGGCCAGGTTTAATGCACTAACATGTACACTACATGAGACGATTTGATAACATGTCCGATGAAATCAATACAATGGATCTATTTTTCAATCATTATAAGTATTACATATGTTTATTTAATCAACGCTTATATATTTTTCTGATACGTCATGACAAAAATATAGATAAGTCCATTTCACTATAACTGTCGATATAATTTCCTTTATTATTTTAATCTTACACATGATAAATAAGAACATCAATATCCACATCTTATATTGAATGAAAGCTAATCAATTCCTCAAAGAACTGTACAATGAACATGTGCTGGAATAATTTGAATTAAAAATTTTATAATTGAAATAAATAATAAAAAAAATATCTTAAATAACACATGTCCTTGACCACCTAGTAATATTCTTCATGTAATATCGTTGTCTAAGCGGAGGAAATAAAAAAATGTGAAAGTGGTTGGACGATGACGCGATACGTATTTCCATAAGGTAGTATGAATGAAGGCATCCGGCGACGGGTCCGGTTTCAAGCCAATGACACACTAAGTATTACAATCAATGTTTGATAATTAAATATTGATGGACCTAATTATTACCTTCACCTATTTGTGTTGATATACGCACGTGACTACATTACAACTCTATTCTTAAGATTTATTGTAAGGTACAACACTACTTGTGGTCTTATTTTGGTCTTTTATAGCAGGTCGGTACCAAAATGGCAAAAAAGGACCGCTACTGCTCATCATGCCCGTCAAAATACCATAACCATTATTTAAATATTACGCATTGATGACAGATATTAATTAAAAACTAAAATACTCTAAATCACTAACGCCCCAATATTGAAAGGCTACTCCATTTTAAGCCGTGTGTAACTATAATTCTGACGTCGCGGAGAACCTAACGGGTTACCGGGGCTCCGGCTCGACGTGCCGGAGAAGGGGGTGGTTTTTAGTCAGTAAGAGTCTGACACTCCCTCCTGCCTCACCCAGGCGGGATGAGTGATTCGATGATTTTCCACCCTTAAAAAAAAACTATAATTCTGTCACTATAAAATCTTTCTAAAATGACAGCGACGATACGAGTAGCCTTTCAGTATTCGGGCGTAAATAGTACAAAATTCAAATATTTTTTCCTCGTAATTCCACCCATGTGTGCGCATATCTTTGCTGAAATTCAACACATGTACTTGGCACTAGGTATATCAACATTCGTCGGAATTTTCACCTATTACGTGTACACCCATGAACCATGGAACGTTGGTGTAATTTTACGTAATAATAAGGCGTGACCCGACGAGTTTCTGATCAGAAGGAGGACATATCACCTGGCGTTTACAACATAAATTAGTGTCCCTTCTACAACAATGTTTTATTTAGATTTGAAATTATGTGTGATTCTGACATCACATTCATCATCACCATCATATCACCCACAAAACGTACCCTGCTGCATCCCCCAATGACTTCCAGATAGGCGGGTTATTTAACCGGGTTTGATAATAATGTGATAACTATCTATACTATTTAATCTAAATAGATAGTTATTAGGAAGTTAATAGGTTTTACGTTAAATACAATTTACTCACCTCCCATTTATTGAAACGAAAGACATTTCTAAAGACAGTTTCAACTTGCGAAAATAAATTAAATGAAAGATGTTGCCGACGCGTTACAAACATTTACAGAAGTACGTAGTTATATTAAAAACTATTTACAAGAAAAAGTTTTGAAACGATAAATTATGAAAGGATTAACGTAAACCTGATTTACCGGTCATTTGCAATTTACGCTTACAGGGCTATAACGACTTGCAGACAATAATCATGTTTTTTATACCACTCAATAGCAAACAAGATTACAGTGTGCTTGGAAGATACATACCAGAAAACATATTTATTTCTTTTTCATTCAAGAACTAGGTCTTCATTGACATCGGCTCAATAGACAGCTCATTCTACAGACGTATTGAACCTACGTAGATCAGGATGAAATTCCTCTAGAACCGTAAACTACGCGCTGAAATCCGGCTCTAAGGCCTATCGTAGACTTGATAATATCATCCTCATATCATATATGCTGATAAAATTTAGACAAATAAGTATGATAGCGCGGATTAGTATCTAACATAACCAACGGGACTACATACGGGAGTGGCCGCGCGTATCGTACGCGCTTGGTTGCGCAAATCGGTGCACGCGTTAGCACACTTTCTGTACGCTAACCGGGCTAAAAACGCATCCGTTACGTGTGCGAGCCGGACCGGCACAACTGCATTGACGATACGCTAGCGATGTGTCATGACACTCACATCCGTGAACCAGTTTCATGTTACATTAATTACAGGAAAATATTCACTGTAATTCTTAATAACGTGACTGGCCATTTAAAAGATTGGTAAGGTACAATTGGCGAAGCTTCCTGCATAATACAGGTTGCATTTATTTTTTACTACTACTGAAAATGTATGATATCGAAATCTATTTAAAAACAGTTGTTTACGCTTGGCGCAGTGGCTTGGAGACCAGCAGCGGCGCAGCGTGCCACGGATTCGATTATCGCACGGTAAGGATGTGATCTACAAATCGTTGTTCCGGGTCACTCACATATGGAGAAAATTGTAATGAATTACGTAATTTGATTTAAGAAAACAGAAATTGAATTTCCAAAATTCATTCAAACATTATTGTGTGGACGATAAATAAACACAATATGTGTAATGATTTGCATAAAGACGTTGTATTCAGATTTACAATTTATATGTTCAAAAATATATGCAACTCCCATGATAAGAGTGAAAGGCTTTCACAAGAACGCGTTGAAAGTCTGCCCAACGTGAGCTACATGAATAATTTACCAGAAAAATCTCTACGATTTCACGCCAACTTAATTCCGAATGCGTTGTAGTTTCTATTCTGTAATTCATTTACACCCATACATTGTAATGCAAGTTCGCACCTCTCTGGAATCACTAATCTTCTGGACCAGACGCATAATATTAAGGTAATTATATAAAGGATGACCTACATATCCGATATCCGATCCGATGATAAGATAATCTGAAAAGATTATTTACTTAAAAGGTGAAAAAGAAGTTATAATATTAAATTTCATTTCAAGGTGCCGTAGTGTCAGTCACCCCGGTAGGTGAACTTAAGATTTCTTTACTACTCCAGGCTTCCGCATTATCTTTTCCGATAAATTATGCCTATACCCATATAAGGAGGCGTATCATCAGCGGGGAATACCTTTCACAGATAAGGTAAAAGCTAGTGTCAAGAATATTTACTGAACACGGAACTTAACTTTACCTCCCGAGGTTAATAATTAATTTTCTTTTCTTGCAGGACAGTATTTATCCTGCCAGACACACGAAGGTCGTCATCAGTGCCTGTCGGATGGTTGCGACATGATCTCTCGAAGCGGATCTGGTATAACTAGATATATGCAGTCGGTTACATTTCGTAAGGCAGCCTTGACAGTGGGCAGGTGGTGGTGGCGACGGCGGCGGCCGGCGGACGGAAGGTGAATGTGGCGGGATCTATGTCACGCGGCCGGCCTTGACTCCCCCCTCATCCTTCTCACAACACCAGCCATGAGGAGATCGGCTACCGTAACAAACATACTGTGCGTTCCATAACACAGCTTATCAATTGATATAAATCAATTCAACAAATAAGATTATTCAGTACTAAAAGT